CTCCAATGGACAACTTTGGTTCAAGGATCCCACACTGGCCTGGTGGAAACTTTCATGGTGCTTTGTTGCAGTTCAATGTTCTTCTTATCCCAATCCTCTTTTCTGCCATGTGTGTCAGACTTGTATCATAGCCTGAAGCCCCTTGCTGGTTGCATCAGCTCTCTCCCCAATATACCTCCTCTAAAAATCAATGAAAAGTATCTTATACAGTTTCAGCAAATTCATTATGTTGCAAAATAGGACCTGGATTGACATGTGGCTATTTAAAAATATATCTCATTTCACTTGGTATTCATCCATTTACTTGCCAAGATAATACTGTATTTGGTTACAGTGTGAAGCCTCAGAACCCCTTGTGGTATCACATAATAGATAATATATGAACAATATTCCTTTCTAAAATTGGAAATATTCTGAATTCCAAAATGAAAAAGCCCTAAATGTGTTGGATAGGGGAGTGTGGATCTTTATTATATTGTTTTTGTGTGCTGTCAAGTAGCTTTCTACTCATAGCGACACTGTTAAGTCAGAGTAAAACTGCCCCCACAGGATTTCCTAGGTTGTAATCAAACTCACCAGCCACTCTTCGGAAGGAAGGTTGGGCAATCTACTTTCGTAGTGATACTGCCTCGGTAACCCAAGGAGGGGTCAGTAGGAGTCAGATCTGATTCAACAGCAGTGAGTTTGGTTTTTTTGGAATCTTTATAGGAGCAGATTGCCAGGTCTTTTCTCTCATAGTGCCACTGGTAGAGTCAAACCGCTAACCTTTAGGTTAGCAGCTGAACTCTTAGCCGTTAAGCCATCAGGGCACCTTACCTTTACCATACAATGGTGAAAAAGAATGACTTGTGGGTACAAGTATCAACATGAATCAATGTCAGAACACCTTCATTTAATATTCGTGAACTTCCTGGGAGTCCAGCCAAAAGTCAATGCAAATCTGCCCTCCCCAAGCCCCTGGCTGTAGCCAAGACATTTTAACTGTGTAATGACAGGACCTAGGACCCCCGTACTGTGTATAGAAAATTCATTCACAGCCCACTCACTCATAAGTGTCTTTTAGAATCATTCTATGCCACTACCCAAAGACAGTGACAGTCTCTCCACAGCAATTAGTTAATTATATCCTGTTTTATTTTTTTTTTTAATTAACTCTCAGAATTATTTGGGGTGCATTTATTTGGCTTCATTTTACAATTGGGGCTTTCAGAAGTTAAGTGATTTGAACAAG